AAAACGCCCAAATCGCCCCAAAAACCCCCCAAACCCCCCCTCACCTTGGCCACGGGCTGGGTGGGCGCGGGAGCCGCCAGCACGCCGGGGTTGCCGGGGTTACCGGGAACGTTGGGATTGTTGGGAATGGCGGGATTGCCGGGATTGCCCCCGGGAAGGGCCTGCAGGGATTTCAGGAGCGGAGCCGCGATCACCGACGGGTGCGGGATGTTCACCACGGTGGTCGGGATTTCGGGAGCGTAACCGGACGGGGGCTGGGAGAGGGACGAGACGGCCGGGACCTGCTGGGCCGCGCTGGTCAGGCCCGCCAGGAGAGCTGGAAAACAGGGAAAAATCCATGGAAAATCCTTTAGGATTGGGAAAATCAGCTCAGAATTCCAAAAATTTGAGAGATAGGAAAAAAACCCGAAAAAAATGGGGTTGGGATCCCGAAAATAGCACCAAAATCCTGGGAAAAGGGATTTAGGAACACTGGGACCTGCTGGGCAGCGCTGGTCAGACCCGCCAGGAGAGCTGCAAAACAGGGAAAAATTCCATGGAAAATCCTTGGGATCCCAAAAATTCCAGGTGATGGGGGAAAAAAATGGGGTTAGGATGCTTAAAATGGGAGAAAACTCCTGGGAAAAGGGATTTGGGAACACCGGGACCTGCTGGGCCGCGCTGGTCAGACCCGCCAGGAGAGCGGGAAAACAGGGAAAAATTCCTTGGAATCCCAAAAATTCCAGGTGATGGGGGAAAAAAAATTGGGTTAGGATGCTTAAAATGGGAGAAAAATCCTGGGAAAAGGGATTTGGGAACATAAAACTCCCGGGAAAAGGGATTTGGGAACACCGGGACCTGCTGGGCCGCGCTGGTCAGGCCCGCCAGGAGAGCTGGAAAAACAGGGAAAAAGCCTTGGAAAATCCTTGGGATCCCAAAAATTCCAGGTGATGGGGGGAAAAATCCCGGAAAAAATGGGGTTAGGATGCTTAAAATGGGAGAAAAATCCTGGGAAAAGGGATTTGGGGACATAAAAATCCTGGGAAAAGGGATTTAGGAACACAAAAAATCCAGGGAAAAAGGATTTAGAAACATAAAAATCCTGGGAAAAGGAACTGGGAA